TTCTTCTTAGAGAGTAGAGACCTGTGGGCTTCCCTCTTACTGTTTCCTCATGTTCAGGGGTTTTCCTGGCTCTTAGCCAGGCCCCAGCCAGGCAACTTGCCCTGAAGCACTCATTTTTGGTGCTTCCCATGACTTTCCTGCTGAATTTTGGCATTCTCTCCTACATGATATGTTCAAAATGTGAGAGTCTGCTTATTATTCTGGTTTCTCTCTGTGGAGGAGGCACATACTACCTGTGTCTAGTCAGCCATCTTTTTTTTTTTTTTTTTTTTTTTTGAGACAGAGTCTCACTTTGTTGTCCAGGCTAGAGTGAGTGCCGTGGCGTCAGCCTAGCTCACAGCAACCTCAAACTCCTGGCCTCAAGCAATCCTTCTGCCTCAGCCTCCCGAGTAGCTGGGACTACAGGCATGCGCCACCATGCCCGGCTAATTTTTTTTTTTATATATATATCAGTTGGCCAATTAATTTCTTTCTGTTTATAGTAGAGACGGGGTCTCGCTCTTGCTCAGGCTGGTTTTGAACTCCTGACCTTGAGCAATCCGCCCGCCTCGGCCTCCCAAGAGCTAGGATTACAGGCGTGAGCCACAGCGCCCGGCTAGTCAGCCATCTTGACCCTATCCCCACACGCCTCTTCTATAGGTTTTCCCATCCGTAATTTGTCTTTTAATTGTAGCTCTGTTTTTGCCATTCAGAAGTTATAAATTTTTATTGTCAATCCTGGCAATCTTTTCCTTCATGATTGGTATCAGTCATCCTTTCAAAAAATATTTTTTGTGCTCTTCTTTCATTATGCCAGCTACTGTGCCAAACACTGAGGATAAATCTTGCATGAAAACATTAGCTTTTATTAAGTAATTTCTTGGTACTTGCTCTTGTTTCCATACCTCTTTCTACTCATTTATGGGTAAGAAAACTGAGAAACAAAGTTTAAGTAAATTGCTAAAAGTCACAGATCCAATAAGTAGAGGAGCCAAAATGTAAATCTGGCGGTCTGACCTCACACATTTAACTACTGCTTCCCAGCGCAGCAGTAGACAAGGTCAAATGGCCCATGTTCTCAAGGAGCTTATATATTAAAGAAATAATTACAAATGGGATAAATATTACATGGTATAGGGTGCTATGGGAGCATGGTTATGGAGACTAAACCTAATTTGTGAGGAACCAAAGAAAGTGAAAACCCAAGCACATATATGCTTAGAAAATCCTCTTCTACCTCATCAGTATGTAAACTGTTGCTAAAAATTTTAAAGACATTTAAGGTTTTATTCTGTACATGAGATCTTCAATACATGTATATTTGGGAACATGGTAGACATCAATATCTAACGTTATTTTTAGCCAACTATTAGATAGTTGTTTCAGTTCTGTTTTTGAATATTACATCTTTCTCAACTTATGAAAATGATATCTTTATTATAGCCAAATGTATATAATGAAAATATTAAATTGATTTGTTTCAATTTTTATAATTATATTTTTATTATAGTAAAAAACATAATATAAAATTTACCTTTTTAACAATTTTTAACATAACTTTTTCATCTTGCAAAATCTAGCGGCATGGCTCAGTCTAACTCTGAAAGTCTCAAAACCAGGGAAGCTGACAGTGCAGCCCCCGGTCTGAGGCTGAAGACCAGAGAGCCTGCAGGAGGCTGATGGTGCAATTCCTAGAGTCTAAAGGCCAAAATCTGGAGTGTCATGTCTAAGGGCAGGAGGAGGAATATGCACACTGCTTCGGAAGGGAGAGCATGCACACAAAGAGAAACCCATGCAAGCTGATTGACCCTTCCTCTGTCTTCTTTGTTCTAGTTTGCCCACAGCCAGTTGGTTGGTGCTTGCCCACATCGAGGGTGGGTTTTCTCTCTCAGTCTACTGATTTATGCATTAATCTTCTCGGCAGCACCCTCCCAGACATACCGAGAAACAGCAATCCAGTCAGGTTGACACTTAATACTAATCATCACAGACCCATTTTTTTTATTACTTCATATTATGGGGGCACAGATATTGTTAGGGTTACATATCTTGCCCCTGCCCCCCTCCCCACCCCGCTATGCCAGAGCCTCCAGGTGGTGCGGACCGCACCCACCGTGTGAGTGCACACCCTTCCCCTCCTCCCCCTCCACCTGCCCACTTCCGATGACAGATTTTTTTAATTTTTTTCCATTTTTTTATTTTTTTTTATTTTTCAGACATTTTGGTTACAATGTATTGTTTAAAAGTGTATTTTTGAATTGCCACATGCTTATTTCTTGTCCTATTTTCTTTCTGTTTCGATTTCCATTTTTATTCTATTATAAAAAAGAGATTTAGTATGAATTTAGTTTTCTTAAATATGTTGAGACTTGTTTTGTGTTATCTGTCTTGGAGAAGGTTTTGTGTGCACTTAAGAAGAATGTGTATTTTGCTGTTATTAGGTGAAGTGTTCTGTATATATCAGTTAGGTCCAATTGATCTATAATGTTGTTCAAATCCTCTGTTTCCTAATTGGTCTTCTGTGTGGTTATTCTATCCATTATTGAAAGTGGAATATTCTACTATTATGGTGTTGCTGTTTATGTTTCCCTTCAATTGTCAATATTTGTTTTGTATATTTGTGTGCTCTAATGGTAGGTGCATATATATATATATATAAAATTGTTATATCTTCCTAGTCATTTATTATTCTATAATTTCTTTGTCTTTTGTGATAGTATTTGATTTAAATTCTATTTTGTCTGTTATAAGTATTGCCACCCTTGCTCTCTTTTGGTTACCATTTGCACAAAATAGCTTTTTCCATCCTTTCACTTTCAGCCTTTGTGTTTCTTTAGATCTAAAGTGAGTCTCTTGTAGACAGCATATAGTTGGATTTTTTAACCCATTAAGCAAATCTGTCTTTTGATTGGCAGATTAATCTATTTGCATTTAAAGTAATTGCTGATAGGGAGGGACTTACTATGGCCATTTTGTAATTGTTTTCTGTATGTCTTGTAGATATTTTGTCTCTCTTTCCTCTCTTGTTGCCTCCCTTTGTGTTTTATTGACTTTTTGTAGTAACATGCTTTCATTCCTTTCTCATTTTCATTTCTGTGTCTTCTATAGGACTTTCCTTTGTAGCTACCATAGAATTACATTAAACATCTTACAGTTAATCTATTTTAAACTGATAACAATTTAACTTCAATCACATCCCAAAACTACTCCTTTACATCTCCTTCTCCTTACTTTATGTTATTAATATCACAAATTACATCTTTTTGTATTCCATTTTCATTCACAAGTTTAATAAAGTAATTTTTATGTTTTTATCTTTATGTTCTATGCCAGAATTAGAAGTGATTTCCTTACTTTCATTACAATATTACAGGATTCTGTATTTGTCTATATATTTACCTTTAATAGAGAAATTTATAGTTTCTGTGCTCTTGTGTTGCTTTTTAATGCCCTTTCATTTCCACTTGCAGGACTCCCTTCAACATTTCCTGAAATTATTTAGTTGTCTATTTGTGTTCTCATTAGGCTTCTTTAAGACAATTAATTTGAATTCTTTGTCAGGTTATTCATAGATCTCCATTTCTTTAGGATCAGTTTCTGAAAATTTATATTGCTCCTTTAATTTCATCATTAGGCTTCCCTGTTTCTTCTTATGCCTTGTTATTTGTTATTTTTTGCAGGGATTTGGGCATTTGAAAAATCTGCCAATTCTCCCAGTCTTTATTGACTGGCTTCATACAGATGACCTTCATCAATCAGTCTGGCTCTAGACTCTGCAAGCCTGTGAAACTTTTTCTGGGGATACATCTTCTCTTGGTTGATACATGCAATATCCCAATTAGAGAGGTTTGCCAGTTTCTTTTTCTGGAGCTGTTTCTTTCTCTGGTGTCTGCCTATGGTACTGCATGTTCTCTGATGGGGCCACATGTCTCTGACCTCTCTCTTGTTCTCAGTGGTCCCCAGGAATCCGAAGTATGCAGATTCAGAGTCAAGTGAGACAGAGACCAGTACCTCAGGAAACCTCCCCAAAATGTTCTAATCTTCCATTTTCCTCACAATGAAAAAACCACAAATTGGGTGTTTTCTTCCTGTTGCACCAACTTATTCCAGCTTTGGGAAAGGCTATCATGAGTATAATACAGCAACTTTTCTTCCTTGTTCAATGCAACTCTTCTTGGCTTTGCATTTGCATGTAGCACTGAAACTTCTTAATGGTTTATGGAGTCCATAAAGGCTTTTATACCAAAAAGTATTGTTCAGTTGGTGTCTCTGTAGGGAATCAAGGTTGGAGCTTCTCATTCTGCCTTCTTGCTGATGACATTCTGTTTCTATTAATACTATTGTTATTAGAAAATTATGTGTAAAAATATACTTAGATACTTTAGCGAGTCAAATACCCAGAGTATAATTGAACTTCTTTATGACTCAGAATCAGTTTTTTTTATTTTTTTTGTTTTTAACTTATTACAGTGAACCATGAGTATATTAACATGCATGAATACAAAGTATATTAGAAACTCATTGACCCTTGGATATTTCTAGGGTTGACCCTAGAATGAAAGTTTTTATGCTGCTATTGTTAAACTGGTCTTTTTTTGTTTAAATCATTTATTTCGTTTTTACATCAGAGAAGAATAATTAATGTAGTCCTTTTCAGCCATGTGCTAAGTGTCACAGGTCATCTCTTGTCAGTCTCTCTCTGTTTTTCTACCTCACCTGATCTTTTAGTTTGGGTGCAGAAGAGGAGCACATTGCAGCTTATTAATTCTTTGGGTTTTTGGCTTATTTGTACAATGAACTTTTTTGAGTTGTGTATATATTAGATTACTTGAGAGTACACACTTAATTTATTAACTAGATCTATATATTTTCATATGTCACTATTAAATGTCCATTTTCATATATTTGTTCTATAAAATACTTACCTTTCTTTGGGGACCACCTAGATTTGATTTTCTGATATGTAGTGCATGTGAAAGTATTTCTCTCTGAAATGTTTTCTTTACTGTGTGCCCTTACAGGTGGTATAATTAATAACATTCTATCCTCTGTACGGGACGTATTTATTGGTGTGCTGGCAGGAATTATTTTGGGATTTTTTGTTCACTATTTCCCAAGTGAAGATCAGGTAAATAAAAAATTAATCTATTTTGTAGAAGTGTAGTATTAGACATTTCTTTCAAAAATTTGAACTTTGGGAAGACCCATGAAATATTAAGTTCAATACTTAACTTTCTCTCCCCAAAAGTAGCCTCAGATGCCTAGTCTGTGTTTAAAACTGAGCACAGTAGTGATTTCTATGTGTCATTGGCTTTCACTGAAGTCTCTGCTTCCTGATTTAGCAAATAAGGAATATCAGAAAAATGTACTTAATTCAAAGTATTTCTCTGCTTTATACCATCCTTTTCTCTACTAAATTACCTATTGATGTTTGACAATTTCCTCCTCTTTTCCCCAAAACTTTCCCTTAAACTATTAAATTGAACCCTTTCCTGCCTTAAAGAATGTACCATTACTTTTGTATTTCTATAATTTCCATCTTAATTTACCTGAAACAATTATTTGACTATGGAGATATCCAAAAATTTATTTTTAAGAATTCATGCATATATGTTATACAGAAGTGAAAGTTCTTTGGGTCTCTATTGTCATCCTCACAGTTAATGTAATAATACTTTAACTATTTTATTTGATATTAGTATCAGAGATGTGGAGAATATGAAACTAATAATTGCAACTTTTGTTACTTGTAGCAAGTCTGCTAAAATATTTGGTGAGGAGGAAAATCAAAATTTTGGACATTACTAAACATAACATTTAGAGACATGGTATCAAAGGATCAAAAACAAAAGATAGTGTGAAATCTTATATTATATATGTAATGCAAATTAATTTCTAAATATCCATCTAATTCTAGGAAAAACTTCCATCAAAGAGAGCATTCCTTATTTTGTGTATCTGTGTTTCTGCCGTCTTAGGCAGCCAACGTATTGGTTTACACGCATCTGGAGGATTATGCACACTAATGTTGACTTTCATTGCAGGGAAAAAATGGTCCAAGGAAAAGGTGAATATTTTTAATACACTATTTTTTAAAGATAAAATAACTGAATGTTTTACATCTAGAATGGATATTTAGGAAATTTCCTCATTCTAGTAAGAAGATATTCCAAAGTTTTTATGTCCTCAAGGAATCATATGAATCAATCAAGGAAATAAAATATTTAGGAAAAGCACCTGGAGATATACTCAAATGCAATCAGAAGTTGAAATTATCACATCAGCCTTCTCTTTTTTCCCAAGTGTTATGTAATATGACTATATAACTTATCAATTTAATTATTTTATTCATTAAAATTTTAGTTATTACAGTTAATCCATGAAAATATTACCATAAAGATTAAAACATAGAATAAAATGTAAAAGATTCCTTTATTCCCACACCACTCCTAAATATTAAACCCCCTTTCCAGAATTAATCATTCCCACTAACCAGTCCTCTATTCGTAGACATCTATATTTTTTCCATTTTTTGTTATTGCAGTAGTGCTGCCATGAACACTCTTGTCATGTGTCTTTTTGCATAAGTGCAAGTACTTCTGTAGGGATGGATTCCTAGAAATGGAATTGCTTGGTTAAGAAATGGTCTGTTTTTTATCTTGATAAGTACTACTAAATTATCCTTTCAAAATATTTTAGTTATTTAAACTCCTGTCAGCAGTGTAGAAGAGTGCCTGGTACTCAGCCTGTCCACAACACTGGTATTATCACTAGTCCTATTTTCTTTCTTTTTTTTCTTTTTAGTATTGGATGGTCTCAGCCATCGAATCTTACATAGTTTCTTACAAGTATATTATGTTTTTCTTTACTTAAATTTCTCTGATTAATAGTGGATTAAGCTTCTCATCATATATTCTTTTTTTCTTCCTGAGTGAATGAACAATCTTCACATATTCTTTTTTAACTACCTATTAATCTATGCCTATTTTATTGGATTATTTGCCTTTTTGTTTCTCATTTATATAGTTTCTCTATATGTTAGCACTACTGATCCTTTGTTTTGTGTGTATTGCATATAACTTTTGCTTATGGTGTTTTCTGTATGGAAGTATAGTTTCCTATAGCCAAACCTATTAATTTTTCCTCTTTGGTTTTAGATACTGCATCTTATTTAGGGACTTCCTCATTGAATATTATAAGATTATAAACATTATAAAGATAATATTTTCTATATTATCTAATAATTTAGTCATTGTTAAATTTATTTTGTTTTTGCATTTAATTCTTTAATGTATCTGGAATTTATGCTTGTAAAAGCTGTGATATAAAGGTATACATAAATACATATGCATGTGTATATGTACTCATAAACACACATATATAGTAGCATATAATAGATATGTACATACATATATGTGTATATATTAGTCAATTTTTGCCAAATTATTTATTGATTAATCCGCTAATATTTAGTTATTTTAAATGCCTATTTTAACATGAACTAAATTCTCACACATATAGATAAGTTCTAGAACCTATTAATATTTAATTCTGCTTATCTATTCCTATGTTGATATTACTCTTTTAAATCACTGATGTTTTATATCTCAAAATCTAATATAGGCCGGGCGCGGTGGCTCACGCCTGTAATCCTAGCACTCTGGGAGGCCGAGGCGGGCGGATTGCTCAAGGTCAGGAGTTCAAAACCAGCCTGAGCGAGACCCCGTCTCTACCATAAAAATAGAAAGAAATTAATTGGCCAACTAATATATATAATATAAAAATCAGCCGGGCATGGTGGCTCGTGCCTGTAGTCCCAGCTACTCTGGAGGCTGAGGCAGGAGGATCGCTTGAGCCCAGGAGATTGAGGTTGCTGTGAGCTAGGATGACGCCACGGCACTCACTCTAGCCTGGGCAAGAAAGCGAGACTCTGTCTCAAAAAAAAAAAAAAAAAAAAAAATCTAATATAGAAGGAACCCTCTTATTTATTATACTTCTTTTTAAAGTATTTCTTGACTGTTCCTGCCTACATTCTTTCTTACATAAATTTTTTTTTTTTTTTTTTTTTTTGAGACAGAGTCTCGCTTTGTTGCACAGGCTAGAGTGAGTGCCGTGGCGTCAGCCTAGCTCACAGCAACCTCAAACTCCTGGGCTCAAGCAATCCTTCTGCCTCAGCCTCCCGAGTAGCTGGGACTACAGGCATGCGCCACCACGCCCGGCTAATTGTTTTTTTTTTTTTTATATATATATTAGTTGGCCAATTAATTTGTTTCTATTTATAGTAGAGACGGGGTCTCGCTCTTGCTCAGGCTGGTTTCGAACTCCTGACCTCGAGCAATCCGCCCGCCTCGGCCTCCCAGAGTGCTAGGATTACAGGCTTGAGCCACCGCGCCCGGCCTTTACATAAATTTTAGAATTAGCTTGAGAATTTTCCTAACCAAAAATCACATTTTGTTTAGTATTCTATATAATTATAATTATAAAAGAAATTGAATGGTCAATAATGAACAAAATGCATTCATTTAAATAAGATGAAAACTACTAGAATTCTTTTTTAAATGATAAAAAAATAAAACAAACTAGAATAAATAGGTTTTAAAGATTAAAAGTATCAAAGAGGAAAATGTGCTATAAAGAAGATATAGTAATGCTGGTTTTCCCTTTTTTAACTTTACTTTTATAAATAACAATCAGAAAACACAGTCATAAGGGAAATAGTTATGAAGATAGTTTATACCCTAAGCAAGAGTAATCAAAGTTTTTATGTATCTTCTGTAAAAAAGTAGATAAGCCCAGAGTGAGACTAAAATCCCTTCATACAAATTCCTAGAGAAGAGACGGAATAGTGTTATGCCAATAGAGCGCTTTCCTGTAGCTTTTAGTAGGGAAAGTGGCACTGGGAGGGATTCATTCCCAGCAAGGGAAGCTTAACAGGCAACCAAATAAGAATTGAATATGTCTTGGCTTTAGTTTTAAGGAAAAAGTAACTTTGAAGTATTCAACATGGGTCCTTTGGAAGCAGGCCTAACAGACAACCAAAATTGTTTTCCTAGTAGCTAATGATGTATCAGGATTTACTTTCATAGATTGGGTTCCAGGATAATTGTGAGTGGAGGTTTTCCCAACTCCCTGCTGAGAACACAGATGTTCGCATGAGCTGAGCATGTCCTCATCAGGTATGATGCAGTTCCGTCTCTGTTCAGTCACCTTACAAACAGAAGCTAAAATTCTTATTAAAAATGTCTGGAATTCCAAAGACTTCATTTATTCTGTGTCAAAATGACCAAATGATATTTTTTACTTTATAGTTTCATGGGGTTTTTTAAAATCAAGTTCTACCTGTTTGAGAAAAAGAATTCACCTGTTCAATTTCTATTAATTAGGTTTTAACATTTCTCCTAAAATAAAATATCTTAAGTTTATTAGATATTAAAAAGTATGGGCCAGGCCAGGCGCGGTGGCTCACGCCTGTAATCCTAGCACTGTAGGACGCTGAGGCGGGTGGATTGCTCAAGGTCAAGAGTTCGAAACCAGCCTGAGCAAGAGTGAGACCTCGTCTCTACTATAAATAGAAACAAATTAATTGGCCAACTAAAAATATATAGAAAAAAATTAGCTGGACATGGTGGCGTGTGTCTGTAGTCCCAGCTACTTGGGAGGCTGAGGCAGGAGGATCACTTGAGCCCAGGAGTGTGAGGTTGCTGTGAGCTAGGCTGACACCACAGCACTCTAGCCCGGGCAACAGAGTGAGACTCTGTCTCAAAAAAAAAAAAGTATGGGCCAGATGCAGTGACTCACACCTGTAATCCCAGCACTTTGGGAGGCCAAAGTGAGAGGATCAATTGAGGCCAGGAGTTTGACACCAGCCTGGGCAACATAGCAAGACTCCATCTCTAAAAAAATGTTTTAATTAGTTGGTCATGGTGGCACATGCCTATAGTCCTACTACTCAAGAGGCTGAGGTGGGAGGATTACTTAAGTCCAGGAATCTGAGGTTACAGTGAGCTAAGATTCTGCCACGGCACTCCAGCCTAGGCAACAGAGTGAGACCCTAACTCAAAAAAAAAGTAAAATAAAATAAAAATATAAAAATAATTTAAAAAATTTTTAAAGTGACTTTAAATTTCTGAAATGTAATTAATTTAATGTGCCACAGTAACTATAAATGTATTTATCTTTTCCACAGATTGGAGTCCAGAAAATTCTTGCGAATACATGGAATATTTTTCAACCACTTCTTTTTGGTTTAGTTGGATCAGAAGTATCTGTTTCAGCTCTTGAACCAAATACTATTGGTAAGAATAAGAGCACAAAAAGTAAAAGGTTCAAAAATATTTAAGAAAACTATGAACATTTTAATTTTTATTTACAATCTATCTTTGAATGATAACAAAGACCTTCAGAAACACATGTTGACACAGCAGCATATATTTGCTTTTCCCTTTCACTGTGTACTATTTTTAATAACAAAGACAATACTGACTATCTTCCCTGAGTGATCTGAGGAAATGGATCTAAGATTTCTTTTCAAAGGGAAACTATTAGATACCATCAGTACATTTTGAATACTTTCATTTAAAAGTATTCCAAAAACATCTATTAGTTTAGAACTGAACAAATGTCATCTGTCTTATTTTTCGTTGTACCTCCACCATCAGGCAGTGTCTTGCACTTTCTAGAAGCCTCACTCATACTTGTATTTTTTATAATTATTATTTTTACTTAAAAAATAAAGACATAAAGAGGCAATAGCTTTAAAATACTTTCAAAAGGTTTAGAAATCGTATCTCTAGGTATAAAGAATCACTTCATCCCAATGTTTTGTTATTTATGTTTATTTGTATCTGTTGTAGGCATTTGTGTTGCTACAATGAGTTCAGCATTATGTGTTCGAATTTTAACCACTTATGTATTGATGTCTTTTGCTGGTTTTAGTTCTAAGGAGAAAATATTTATTGCTTTATCATGGATGCCCAAAGCTACAGTCCAGGTAACAATATATTAAGTCATTCTAATATTTTAGATTTGATGATTTTTTAAAAATTCTAAATGAAGTATATTACACTAATCACAAAATGTGAGCTCTTAGCCTTACTCTTAAAATTTTTGATTGATCATGACTATTTATAAAATTAATGTAAACTTTTAAACCTCAGTTTTGAAAGCAATTCTTCTGAAATTGAATGTATACTTTTAACAACAAATCCTTCCTAAATTTATAAAAATATTTTTTGTATTTTCCCAAAATATAAGAATATATCCCAATATTGGAATTTTTATATTTTACTGAATGTCAAATGTTGTGATTTTAAAGTAGAGACACGTTGATTTTTTTAAAAACACCTTTCCTACCCCTATCACTCACTCCACCACACAAACGTACATATGTTGTTTTTAACTATTTGATTAATGACTGAATCCTCACAATAAACTATATAGGAAGGACAGGGACAGTGTCTGCATTTTTTTCTATTACTTTCCCCTAGCACTTAACGGAGTGCCTGGCACACAGAAGGTAAATATGCATTGCACATCTACCATAAATATGCCTACAATAATGAATGAATTAATGAGTCTTTATAATTTTTCCCTGTTATTCAATGATATTCTCCTCCTACTTAAGGACAATGCTGTTTATTGTTAGACTGTTTAACTTGGCAGCACCATACCTTAATTTTCTAGGATTCTTTTCTTGTTATTCCAAAACAGAAGCTCCTAAATTTCCATGCAACAAAATTCTCTATTATCATGATTAGAAAAGCAAGCTCATGGGACCAGATTGCCTCTTAGAAAATACCGTATTACTTCCCTACAATTTAGGCAAGTTATTTCCTAATCTCTCAGTGCTTCAATTTCCTCATTTTACAATGAGGTCTGTGAGTATCTATTTCGTTGTGGTGTTGTGAGGATTAAATGAGATAATCCACGTAAAGTGCTTAAGCACATTCAGTCTCTGGAACATGGCGGTGCTCACTTCATGTTGTTTTACCTTCAAGAAATATAAATACTCACGCCTGTAATCCTAGCACTCTGGGAGGCCGAGGCGGGCGGATTGCTCAAGGTCAGGAGTTCAAAACCAGCCTGAGTGAGACCCCATCTCTACCATAAAAATAGAAAGAAATTAATTGGCCAACTAATATATATAATATAAAAATCAGCCGGGCATGGTGGCTCGTGCCTTCCCAGCTACTCGGGAGGCTGAGGCAGGAGGATTGCTTGAGCCCAGGAGTTTGAGGTTGCTGTGAGCGAGGCTGACACCACGGTACTCACTGTAGCCTGGGCAACAAAGCGAGACTCTGTCTCAAAAAAAAAAAATATATATATATATATAAATAATAACTTTTGTCTTTAATGTCTACTGTAGGGAATAATAAATCTACAAAAGGAGTTATCTATCATCCCTCTATTCTCTCTCCTTCCAACAATACACTTGCAATTTTGTTTTATTATTTCATAATTTTCATAAATCAAGGAAAAAAGAAAAGTGGTATAAGAAAAGAGACCACCCACCCAAGTCCTGCAATATTATTCTGCTTCAGCCTGCTTCTGTCTACTTGGGTCCATGCTGTCTTCTGCATAAAGAATATTGAGCTGGAAATTAATTATTTATGCAACTAGAGAGTCACAGCAGCAACAATAGATGACGATAATGTCCTAAATGACTTGGATCAACAAATATTTTAAATTTAAATTTAAGAACTTTTCACTTTTATCGTCTTCCTCTGTTCTCTGCTGCTTAAATAGAATTGGCTATGCTTCAATTCTTTCTCTTATTCCTCAGTTTAGAAACACTGATGAAAATTAGAGTGGAAAAAATGGAAGATATTAAGAGGATAAATAAAGAACTTAGTTCACAAACGTAAGATCAGTTTGCTAATAGGATTCTTTTAAAGAAATAATATTAAATCTCATTCACTAGGTGGAAACCATTTGACTAGTAGTAGTCTTCACGTAAGAGGACTGTCATAAGGATTAAGTGAGTTAATAAATGGAAAGCTTTAAGAATGGTACTCTATATTGTTATTAGTTTCACCGTTATTATCATCATCATGTCTTGAAAGTCAATGGTTTTTTGGCAGTTCTTTTATGCTCAAATTCTCTTCTAAACTGTAAGATTCTTTAGAAAGAGGATGGGTAAGAAATTGCTTTATGTTATTAAAAATAAATATGATAGAAGATAACTGGGGAAAATAATTCATCCCCTGACTGGCAGGGGATGAGGAGTGGATCAGGGGAGAGAAAGTTACTATGATATGAAGAGCTACTATATGCCGGGTGTTATTGCAGTCTCATATTTAATCCTCACAACCACCCAGTGAGGTAAGTATTTTGTTGTTCATTTTACAAGTAAGTGATTAGAAGGTTAGAGAGTTTAAGTCACTTGCACAAGACCACTAACCTGGTTGTGGCAAAAACAGGATTCAAACCCAGTTTGCTGGATTCCAAACCTTTTTTCAGTTCTGCTATAACATGCTGCCCAGAAAGTAGGAAGAACAATGAGAAAAGCAACAAATGCTAGAAGACCATAAGAAACCTAAGTATTTTATATTGTCATATTGCAGCCGAGAACCTAGTGGTACATGGTAAAAGCAACTAAGCAAAACTCTGGTTCATTTAGGACTACTGATGTTCTGAGGGTAATATGAGCACTCAAAAGAGGTATTTGAATAGGGAAAAGCTGAGAGGACAAGAGTGCAGAATCAGCTCCAAAATTTCTGCATGCTAATTTGTCACTATTACACTCTTCCTCCAGATATATTTGCTAGGAAGAACATAGAGTTGGTGAGTAATTTATGGAAAATACTCAGCACTTTTAGTCTTGTGTTTTTTCCTAATAATCTAGTGCTAGATTTGGTTTAATAGAGCAATATACATTTATTATATATTAACACATTTTAATATTTTTCTTTATGCCCCATTCCCTCTCCACCCCCTAACCTCCCACCAAATACAGGCTGTATTAGGTCCTCTGGCTCTAGAAACAGCAAGAGTGTCTGCACCCCACTTGGAATCATATGCAAGGAATGTGATGACAATAGCATTTTTAGCCATCTTGATCACGGCTCCAAATGGAGCTCTACTTATTGGCCTACTGGGGCCCAAAATACTTGCACGTCATTATGATCCAAGAAAATTAAAACTGCAATTGTCGGATCTCGCGCATCATTAAAATGTTTATTTGTCATTACCTGCCTGCTTCTTTTAATGAATTATCTCATATGAGAGAAAAATTTAAAAATACAAATATGTAGAGACACTAAACACAGAATCCAGAATTTAGTAAATGTGTGATTTCACTATAGGACTTCCCTCTGATTTTTGATTCCAAAGTTAATTTAATAAAAATGGTATTAAATGGAATGTTCTCTTAGTATTTACGTATTTTAAAAACAATGCAAATCTGAAAATACCCTAAGAAAGTTTAAAGTAATCCTGACGGCTGAATTTGACATTATAATACAAACTAGGCTTAAAATAAAATTAAACAAACCTTGAATTAATTTTTGTGAGGGGTGAGAGGAAGGGATCCTCTTTCAGTCTTCTGTATGTGGCTATTGAATTTTCTCAGCACCGTTTATTGAATAGGGCTTCTTTTCCCTAGTGTACATTGCTTTCTTTGTCAAAGATCAGTTGGTTGTAGGTAGATTGTTTTATATTTGCAGTCTCGGTTCCATTCCATTCATCTATGTCTCTATTTTTGTACCAATTCAATTCTGTTTCAGTTACTATAGCCTTGTAGTATAGTTTGAAGTCTGGTAATGTTATGTCTCCACATTTGTTCTTTTTGCTTAGGATGCCTTTGGTTATTTGGGCTATTTTCTGGACCCAAAAAGCATAGAAATATTTTTTTTAGGTCTGTGAAATATGACATTGAAATTTTGATGGGGATTGCATTAAGTCTGTAAATCACTCCAGGTAGTATGGACATTTTAACAACATTGATTCTACCTATCCATGAGCAAGAAAAACTTTCTTGCTTGTATCCTCTTGTTTGTATCCTCTGCAATTTCTTTCCTCAGAGTTTTGTAGTTATCCCTGTGGAGATCTTTCACCTCCTTGGTTAAGTATATTCCTAGGTATTTCATTTTCTTTGTAGCTATTGTGAACGGTATGGAGTCTTTGATTTGGACTCTACGCTTAACTGTTATTTGTATGTAGAAATGCTACTGGTTTATGTACATTGATTTTGTATCCCAAGACTTTGCTGAATTTATTTATCAATTTCTGGAGACTTGGTGGAATCTTTGGGGTTTTCTGGATACAAGATTATGAACTTCATCAGTGAAGAGTGACAGTTTGACCTCCTCTTTCCCAATTTGGATACCATTAGTATTCTTCTCTTTTGCCTTATTGCTCTGCCTAGGACTTCCAGCACTATACTGAATACAAGTGGTGACAGTGGGCACCCTTGTCCCTTTTCTAGTTCTTGGTGGGAATGCTTTCAGCTTTTTCCCATTCAGTATGATGTTAGCTGTGGGTTTGACATATATGGCATTTATAATTCTGAGATATGTTCCTTCTATGCCTAGTTTGTTGATTTTTTTTTATCAGAAAAGGGTGCTGAATTTTGTTGGATGTTTTTTCTCCATCTATTGAGATGATCATATGGTCTTTGTTTTTGCTTTTATTTATGTGGTGAATCACAATTATTGATTTATGTATGCTGAACTATCCTTGAATCCCTGGGATGAAGCCCACTTGGTCCTGTTGGATTTTTTGATGTGCTCTCACCACTCACAAAAATTAATTTAAGATTGGTAAGAAACTTAGATATAAAACATGAAACCCTAAGAATTCTAGAGGAAAATGTAGGAAAAACTCTTCTGTATATCAGCCTAAGTAACAAATTTATGACTAAGACCCCAACAGCAATCATGGCAACAACAAAAATTAATAAATGGGATTTGATAAAACTATAAAGCTTCTGTACAGCTAAGGAAATGAAAATTAAAATCACAATGAGATACCACCCCACCCCAATTAGAATGGCTTTTATTAAAAAGTCCAAAAACAATAGATGCTGGTGTAGATGCAGAGAGAAAGGCACACTTACACACTGTTGGTGGGACTGCATAGTACAGCCTCTATGGAAAACAGTATGGAGATTCCTCAAAGAATAAAAAGTAGACCTACCATTAGATCCAGAAATCCACTATTGGTTATTTACCCAAAGGAAAAGAAGTCATTTTATCAAAAAGACACCAGCAATCAAATATTTATTGCAGCACAATTCATAATTTCGAAGACATGGAATCAACCCAAGTGCCCATCAATTCATGAGTGGATTAACAAAATGTGGTATTTGTATACTATGGAACACTGCTCAGCCATGAAGAAGTGCTCGATCTGTTCAAACGTGCGCTCAGGTCCTGTCCGCCCTCCCCCTTTTTTCTGAGCTCAACGAACATAGATCTGTTTTCCGCTGAGCTGCTTTCTGTTCACCTCGTTTACAGCTTTCTGTGCATATTCATGCCTTCTGACGCTTACAAATCCAAATCTTTGGGTTTCCCACTTTCACTGGTTACGACTTTCACACTTAAAGCAGGTCCAAACTTGCCAAAGAGGTCCTCGAGGCACTCACCATCCATGTCGTTTTCAAAAATCTAGGTGTAGTCATTGCTGAACTCTTTTGCCTTAGCTCCAAGTTCTCCATCTCATGTTTACAAGACTTAAATCATCCAACAAATATTTTGCCACCATTTAGAAGCATCTATTTCCTTTTTCAGTAGCTCTTTTGGATGCTTCTGTGACTCAAAATGTACAAATCCATAACCCTTGAAACCATTTTCATCACAAAGCCTAATGTGAAAGGATGTCACCAAAAGCAGAAATACAATCACACAATGCTTTATTATCAGTGGATCAAATCTGTGACGAGTGTCTTGCCCATTCTATTTCTGCATGGATGGATCGTGCTAAGACCACACGGTGCGTGATGGATTGCCCCTCATAACACGAAGTTCATGGGTCCTCAAACAAAGAAAACAACATGAGTTCCAGAGCACCTTCTGTGTCCATAGCCCAAAGACAGGTAGGTGATCACGTCCCCACAGACCCAGACAGAAAGGATGGCCCGCGCCTGGGCCAGGTGCAGCACAGGCGCGCTTGTAGGGCACGGCCTGGGGCGAGCAGGCGCGGGTCACACCTCGTGCCTGTGGGTCACACCCCCGCGCCTGTGGGTCACACCTTGCGTCTGTGGGTCACACCCCCACGCCTGTGGGTCACACCTTGCACCTGTGGGTCACACCCCCGGGCCTGTGGGTCACACCTCGCGCCTGTGGGTCACACCCCCCCGCCTGTGGGTCACACCCCCGCGCCTGTGGGTCACACCTCTGTGCCTGTGGGTCACACCCCCACACCTGTGGGTCACACCCCCCGCGCCTGTGGGTCACACCCCCGCGCCTGTGGGTCACACCCCCGCGCCTGTGGGTCACACCTCCGTGCCTGTGGGTCACACCCCCGTGCCTGTGGGTCACACCCCCGCGCCTGTGGGTCACACCCCCGCGCCTGTGGGTCACACCCCCGCGCCTGTGGGTCACACCCTCGCGCCCGCAGGGCCAGAGGCCACCGCCCTCCCCGAATGGCGAGCGAGGGCTGGCACGGAGGACAAACGTCACCTGGAACCGACAATACCTAGGCTGTGGAACAGGGTTGTTGCACCGAGGCCGGCCGCAGGCTGGGAGGGGCTCGTGCCACTGAGAACACGGGGGCGCGGGCTTGGCTTTCTCGCCCCTGCAGGCCGGCTTGTCCCTGCATCCCCTGTGCCCCCCACCGCAAGCCGGTGCCCGGCTCCCCATCCCCCCTACCGCACTCCCACCCCACCGCACCACATCCCCCCATCGCACCCCACCAACCCACCGCACCCCATCCCCCCATTGCAGCCCACCCCCACATACCCCGCAGGCCGGTGCCCAGCTCCCCAACCCCCCGAAGAGATCGTCGCGTGGCGTCCACCGCTTCGCCTCGGGGCGCCCCTGTCTCGCGTGACTGCCCGACCCGCTTCCCGCCTCGGGGCGCCCCTGTCTCGCGTGACTGCCCGACCCGCTTCCGCCTCGGGCGCCCCTGCGCTGTGAGGAAGGGCGGCCACCCGCCACCGCCAACCGCTACCGCCACCGCCAGCCGCCACCGCCAGCCGCCACCGCTACCGCCAGCTGCCACCATCAGCCGCCACCGCCAGTCGCCACGCCAGCCGCCACCGCCAGCCGCCACCGCCAGTCGCCACCGCCAGTCGCCACCGCTACGGCCAGCCGCCACTGCCAGTCGCCACCGCTACCGCCAGCCGCCACCCGCCACCGGCCACCCGCCACCCACCAGCCGCCAGTGCCACCGCCAGCCACCGCTCGCTAGCCGCCAGCCGCCAGCCTCCAGCCGCCACTGCTCGCCAGCCGCCAGCCGCCACCGCCACCTCCAGCCGCTGTGAGGAAGGGCGGCTACCCGCCAGCCGCCACCGCCACCGCACCCCGAGCTAGGGTGCCCGAGTGCCGACTCACCTCACGGGGGGGGGGCTGTGGGGGCCCGAGTGCCGACTCACCTCACGGGGGGGCTGGGGCCAGAGTGCCGACTCACCTCACGGGGGGCTGGGGTGCCAGTGCCGACTCACCTCACGGGGGGGCTGGGGTGCCCGAGTGCCGACTCACCTCACGGGGGGGGGCTGGGGGTGCCCGAGTGCCGACTCACCTCAGGGGGGGGCTGGGGGTGCCCGAGTGCCGACTCACCTCACGGGGGGGGGCTGGGGGGGCCCGAGTGCCGACTCACCTCACGGGGGGGGCTGGGTGCCCGAGTGCCGACTCACCTCACGGGGGGGGGCTGGGGGTGCCCGAGTGCCGACTCACCTCACGGGGGCTGGGGGTGGCCCGAGTGCGACTCACTCATGGGGGGCTGGGGTGCCCGAGTGCCGACTACCTCACGGGGGGCTGGGGGTGCCCGAGTGCCGACTCACTCAGGGGGGGGCTGGGGTGCCGAGTGCCGACTCACCTCACGGGGGGCTGGGGTGCCCGATGCCGACTCACCTCACGGGGGGGCGCTGGGGTGCCCGAGTGCCGACTCACCTCACGGGGGGGCATGGGGTGGTCTGAGTGCCGACTCACCTCACGGGGGGGGGCTGGGGTGCCCGAGTGCCGACTCACCTCACGGGGGGGGTGGGGGTGCCTGAGTGCCGACTCACTCACGGGGGCTGGGGTCCGGAGTGCCGACTCACTCACAGGGCTGTGGGGTCCGAGTGCCGACTCACCTCACAGGGGGGGCTGGGGGTGCCCGAGTGCCGACTCACCTCAGGGGGGGCTGGGGGTGCCCGAGTGCCGACTCACCTCAGGGGGTGGGGGGTGCCGAGTGCCGACTCATCTCATAGGGGGCGCTGGGGTGCCGAGTGCCGACTCACCTCACGGGGGGGGGCTGGGGGTGCCCGAGTGCCGACTCACCTCAGGGGGGGCTGGGGGTGCCCGAGTGCCGTCTCAGCCCCGGGCTGCGGGAGGGCTCCCCGTGGGCGCCCTGTGGCTCGGTGCCCGAGGAGCGGCAGGGCGCAGGACGTGGCGGGGCACGGAGCGCAGGGTGGGCCGCCTGTCTCGCGTTGGGCTTTCACAGTTGATAGGGGAGCCTGCGGCCGGGGGGAGAGCGCACCCTGCGCTCTGGGGACGGAGCACACATTTATTTGTTAAAAAAACAAACAAAAAAACGCAAAACCAAAAGCGAAACAAAACAAAAACTTCACCCAAAACCTTAAAAAAATCTTTAATACCCTCTGGTCCCAGTTTTACGAAAATATCCACTTCTCTGCAGCTGGACACCCCTTTCCCTCTTCCTCGGACAAAATAACCTGACATGGGGCAGGGAGGTGCCGACCTGCTGGGCATGTGGGGGTGGGGTGCGGTGGGGGTGGGGTGCGTAGGGTTGGGGAGCCGGGCACCGCGCGGGGTATGTGGGGGGTGCTGCAATGGGGGATGGGGTGCAGTGGGGGTGCGATGGGGGATGGGTGCCGGTA